GGGTGCTCCCAGTATTCTCCAATTTTATATCATTATAAGAAAGATTTGGTTTCAACTAAAGATCTTGCTGCTGGCCATAACCATTACATTTGGCTAGATCATTTCCTGTGGCAGTGAATTCCACAGATAGGCTATATAAAATAACATTTCTACACAAAATTTCCAAATTTACTGCCCTTTAATTTTCTTGAGTACTCTACTCCTCTTGATTAACGTTACTCTGTGACAGGTTATACACTTCATTATAGAATACTTGAAGCACTTGACTTGTATTTTAAAAAGGCTATCATAACATTCTATAGTAATTAGAAATCAATTAGCAATTTATTCAAGAAATAGAAGCCTAGCCTTGGTGTGCTAGCTAACTTACTTTCCATTAAGCTGCAGCTCTCCAGTATTGTGCACTGAACAAGACAGACTTCATTTTTTATTTCAGCTTGCCGCTTTCCAGTGACAGCTGCCCTTGTATGATGGATTAAACTTTTCCTGTAACTTTCAGTTATTTTTGAAAGACGTTTGGCACAAATTGTCAGGGTGTGGGTGTGTGAATTGTAAAGTCAGCAGAATTTAGTGAATGGTGTCTACCCCTCCCATTAAGTGACTGAAAGACCTCCATGCTTGCTGATGCCTAACCATTATGTTAATAGATAATATGCCTCTAACGTTATCTTTGAACTATGATGCCTGTGTAATGATTAAGATACTTGCAAATGTGCCAGACTATTATCCCTGGGGAAAAAAAAAATCTCTAAACAAGTAAAGCATGCATATCTCCTGTGGCTTTACCAATGTGTCTTCACCTATGTCTTCTGAAGAACCAAAAGACATAGGCACAAAGGTCTATTTACAGAGATAAATAGACTTAAACTGTTGGTTGTAATTGTGATCAGCAAACTACAGAATTAAAAATCCTGATGCTAATTCTAGGATATTATTTGTATCATTGAGAGAAAAGCCTTCAACTGGATGTTGAAATGCTATAGTCATGATAGCAGTTAAGTATGTTTGGCAAAGGAAGAGCTCTTCCCCAGCACACAAGATCCATCAGACATCAAATATGCTGAAATACCCTCTTTTTGTTGTGATGCTGAGTGGTTTCTTTGGCAGTACCCAGTCAGGCAAGGTAGTATCCCACTTTGCAGATTGGAAAGCTGAAGCATAGTGAGCCAAAATGATGTCCCCATGGTGCCAGAGAGGATATGTAGCAAATCATGAGAAGGAATCCAAGATCCCTATCTCTGAGGTCTCTGAGAGATGATGCATTAATGTTAAGAAATGTACCAACTTTCTCACTGTTGAGAGTAGTGAGATGTGAGTGTTGAGATGTGAGCTGTGAAAGGTCCGGCAGTTTGACTCAGAAAGCGGAATTATTTCTATAAATGACAATTTGCAGATTCCCACCAATGCTGTGCTTCCAGCTGACCTAACAATTGTCCTATACGTGCTTAAGTTGACATCAGGTTGCAATCACCTTGACTACTGTAGCTGGAATATTATAAGACAGACCTACAGTGGCTGATAGTCTTTGTTCGGAACTGTAAATTTAGAAGATGATCCACCTTTTCTGTTGAGATGCATATGGTTAATCGTAAACAGTCAGGGAGAAGTGGTGCACTCAGTGACCAGAGAGCTGAACTGTGTATCATGAGTTGTTTTGTCTGTCCTAGAGAGGAACCTATAACTGAACCCTTTTCTGTTCACTGTAGACAACAGTACAAAATACATTTTGCAGACCTCGTTTTCTGCACTCAGGAGTGTGCAAATGGTAACACTCCTTCTGATCTTGTCATGACCCTCTGCAGCTTCTCCACTTCAATAGCATAATTAGGAAAAATCAGCTCTACCGCCTAAGTTACGCTTGTAGCGAAAGCCTCCAGCTGCAGTCAACAGGACATATGTATGCATACACACGTGATTAATAGCTACACATTTGCAGAATGATGATAAGTTTCCAGGAAGCTATTTCAAACACAGGTGCAAGGTTTTTAATGATAACTGTATGGGAGCATTGTTCAGTTGAGGACGATCCATCCTGGACTTCTAGGATACTTCCATTTTGGAGGAAGCATTTCCAGATATTTGGAAGGATACAATCTTAGCCAAGAATTCAATGTTTCTTAAATGTTGATATGTTGCTGTTACTGTTTTGAGTAAGTCTATTTCTTTTTTTTCCCCAACCTCTGCCAAACAGCCTGTGTCTCTGCATTTCTCCTGCAGATGTTTTTCAAGAGCAAATAGTAAGCTCACAATGTACTGTCTCCTTATCAAAGGATTTTTTTAACATAATTTACCAAATACCTAATGTTATATCAACATATAATATGCATTCCTGTCACCTGTGGCTGAGTCCCACAATGTAAGGAATAATCTCACCTTCTACTAAACAAAATGAGACATGAGAGCACCAAACACAGGGAGTCCAGCAACAGAGAGACAGTAAGTGCTCAGCTGTCTGCCAAATACTGATGGTTTCTCCATGCTTGAGAAGCTGTCACTGTCTCTGCCTCTCAGCTTCTCTGTTACATATATGACTGGGCAATAAAAAGAAGATGAAAAGCTGACCTCCTAAATGTTCTGTCTGAGAAGTCTCAAATGCTCTGCTGTACCAGAATGCAGGTCTATTTTTTGGGACTAATTTGAGCTGATGCTAGCTGGTACAATCACTATGCAATCATGCAGGCATTGGGAATAGCCAGAGTACACTATACTCTGGTTATATACTTTACTAGGCCACGATGGAAGCTTCTTGCCATCTGGAAATTTCTTCATGCCAGAGTAGTACAAAAGGACAGGCATCTGAATTCTGTACCTGGCACCCTGGCATTTGCTATTTAGGATTCACTTGTACCGCAGCTTTGAGAAGTTCTACTTTTCTAGCTGACTTTCCTGGCTGATGAAAAAAACCTGTTGAAGATAAATACAATACAGCTGAAACTTTTATCACCATCTATCATAATTAGAGGGAAGTCGAGTCATCATTGTGCCTGTACTGGTGAATTCTTATAGCAGTTTTTCAAAGTCATCCATACTTATTGTTTGTGTAGATTGCTTTATATAAATAGCGGCGTTCTTTGTAGAAGAGAGAGGATGCTAAGTCTCATTTCTTTACTTAATTCCAGCTTGGATAGTTAGGTTTTGCCTGCCTGATTTCTCCACTGTGATTTCAGGTGAATATTTGCTTCCATCTTTATATACCATGATGTTTTGTTCTCTTTAAAGCAGTGATGTGTTTTACACCAGAGGTGTCTACAATTTGGTCATGTAAGATGAAATGTGGCTTGCAAACATAAAGAATAACTAATATTATTTATAAACCAACTGAACAATTCTACAAAAGTATTCAAAGGGAAACTGGATAATATGCTTAAGGAATGTTAGAGGGACTCCTGGATTCCTGAAGAGAGTTGTTCAGGTATTCTCTTCTAACTACCAAACGTGTTAATCCTGTGAGGAAGAAGCTAATGAACTGTTTTCACAGAGGCAGATTTTGAGCTTATTTTTTAATGAGTCTACTTCAGTTCAGTCGCAGCTGAAGGAGCCTTGAGATAGAGTTCTGGATCGGCCCATTGACTGTGGGCTATTGCCAGACAAGGACTTTAGTGACTGTACTTGGAAAGAAAAAATGGATAATGGACTTCCATCCACAAAGAACTGATTATATTAGTGTTACTCTCCTGCCTTGTCTTACTGAAGGTCTGAAATTCCTTTCCTGAGTTGTTATGAATCTTGAGTCAGATCGCCTCCCCTGAAGTGTGTCTCAGTGTCCATGTATGGAAGAATATTTCTTCTGTGATCACAACAAATGCTTAGGTTGCAAAGGAGAGAGCATTTTCCTGGGAGGAGAGGACAACATACGATAAAATTCTCAAAAGCATGGAAAACAAAGGAACCTAGGCTGCTTTATGCCTTTAGGTACTTTCAAGTCTGCAATTTACGATCATAAATCATTTTAGTGCTCCTGAAAATGTTAACCACCATCTGTTTCTTTAATGATGCTATGTCTGGCTCAGGAGATAAGTGTTTATGAAAAGTAAAGAAGAAGGGACTCTGATATTTTTGATACCATCATGAAAGTGAGATTTTATTAAACATCCAAGCAACTTTCCAAAATTTTGAACTTTGAAGGAGATTTCAAGATAAAATGGTGTTATGTACTAGAAGCTTTTAGAATATATACAATATCTTATTATGTGCTAGAGTTGCTCTACACATAATACAGGTTCTGGTGCTAAAACAATAGTCTGCCTGCTTCATTTGCAGATTCTTATGGTGTGAAAGCCAGACCTATGCTCATGTCATTCAGTTTACAGTCTCAAAGTCTCTGAGTACTCAGTTGTGTAGGAATCACATTTTGAAGGAGAGATTCATCCTTCAAGGATAGAAAGGAAGTTTGTGAGAAAGCTTTAGAAAACACTTGACAAGGTCAGAACATGGCAGGCCTTGAAAGCGCATTCCTCAAAAGCATACAGCTACTGCCCTCACTGTGGTAAACTGTGAAGATTACTAGAGCATTGCCAGGGAAAGATCAGTATTTGCCCATAGTTACCGCATGCTTCTCTCCGAGGTATGTGTACCTGTGCTGCGGATGGGAAGTAAATGTGATCTGATGACACGCTCTGGCAATGCTTAGCAAAAACTAGCAATATTTTCACTGGCAGCAGAGTCATACGTATGTGGAGTGGTTAGAATAGAAGTTTAGAAGTCATCGGATGGACCCTTGTGGTGCTGTGAGTAAACTCCAGAAAGTGACAGCCCGCAAAGAAGTGCTAGCCTGGCACATGGTTATATCTCGACCTATATTAATCACTGCCTGTAAGGAAACAGCTAAAGGAAAAAAAGCAATCAAACGAGCAGTCACATCAGAAAGAACATACAGAAACTTTTGCTATGATTATGTGTAAATGAACCACAGGCTCTGTTTACAAACCTTTCCATCTGTTCCTTTGCCTAATCATTTCTGCTTTCCCTCTCTGTCTTCTAACTTTCCTTCGTCTTTCCAGATGCAGGACGCTATGGGCTATGAGTTACCATGGGTGTATTTTGTCAGTCTGGTCATCTTTGGATCCTTTTTCGTTCTAAATCTGGTTCTTGGTGTGTTGAGCGGGTAAGCTGACAGTTTTGGTGTCCTTTTTCCAATGCTACAGGGCAAGACTCCATAATAAGGGTTCTTCCCTGTCACCAGGATTCTTTCAGAGGGATTAAAAATCTGAATCCAAGGAAGCTTCACATCAGCTCTCAAACATTTTAACAAAATGTTAAAACATTGCAAATAACAATACAGGTAACAAAAAGAGGTGTTATTCACTGACAAAGAAATTCAACCTCAGGGCATTCAAAATCGCTAATGTTAACCTGTCATAAATTTACAAAAAACTGGCTATTGAAAATCTTACTGCTGGTGACTTGGGATCTCTTTGGCTGGAGCCTTGCAGCGCTCAGAATCTGAGCTTGTCTCACTAATTATCATTCCACTCTTCCAGGTCAATGATGCCATAGGAAGGGACTGGCCCTGGATCTATTTTGTTACACTAATCATCATAGGGTCATTTTTTGTACTTAACTTGGTTCTCGGTGTACTTAGCGGGTAAGCAGTACCAGGAAAATGTTTTATTATTGTTTATTTTTAAAATTTGTATTTCTATTCCTACTCTCTGGTTACCAAAACAACGGGCAGTGGCAGGTTGATTTCAGGAACCTTAATAGAAGGCCTAGGCTATTGCTGTGCCAGTAGCAAAATATGGCATTCCTAATGGCATGGAAGGAGTCTTTTGACTAAATCAAAGGAATACAAGACAACTCTTTGCCTGTAACCTGTTCCTCTACCTAAAATCTCTACCTGTACTCTGTGGGAAGAGGACAACACTATGCTCCCCTGTGGGCAAAGCATATTGTTCACCATAGAAGAAGGGGATTATAGTAAAATCTCTGGAAGAGTCAGTGGGACTGAAGGAGGAATGAGAGCATGAGACAAATCCCTTCACATTTGTGGGAAGAGATTCCTGCTAAATTATGTCTTCTCACATGAGAAATTTTCACATTGCTTAGTATCTCTAAAGCACAGCCTAATGGGAGACTATTTTCCCTGGAGAGTGTCTTGGGCACGTTTCTTCTTCAATAAGCACATCTTCTCCGTTGCGAAGATTACAAGCCTAGCATGACGCAGGGAGAAAAGATCATTTCCCTCCGACCTTTTCTAAGGGTGAACAGAGAAGCAGGAGAATTCCTTCTAGTGTTTAAGCATCCCTAAGACATCTAGACATTTAGCTGTATTTCAGTTCTGCAGTATAACCCTCACTGCAAAGCATCATTTTAGTAGCTTTGATTAAAAACAATTGATATTGTCCCCAGTAGCTAAAAACTTTACTGCCCCTGGGGAGCCACATAATTAGAGGAATCAAGCCAGCAAACATTCCTCGCAAGATTTTTAAAAAAAGTTCTCCTAGAATTAGGCTTCTAATTCCATATTTGGGCACGTGTGGGTGCCTACAGCCATTCTATGTACATGGATAAATATGGTATGAGGACTTTTGTGTATCCTCTTTTTCTTTGTTTCTAACATCCTGCCTTCTTTAATGAGCTCTAAATGAATTTAGTCAGAGCCTGTACCTGTTGCCTGAGTGGGCAGCCCTGAAGTCCCCTGCCTTTTAATCATAAGAGAGGGAAAATGATCTCTGAGCAGGAGAGAGGACTTGATGTCTCACAGAAGTTATGTCCTCAGTACTTGGGCCAACAGTGTAGGAAGGGGCAGTAGTAGGACTGGAGAAGAAGATCCACCATTGGCCATCCTGCAAAGAGACAGGTAATAGCAGATCTACAGGAGGAGTTACTACTATCTTCATTACTCCATTGAAGGAGACATGCAGCTAAGACAGCTGCTGCAAAGAGAAGGGTTTCCAGGCACTAACTGGAGAAGGAAAAAATCCCCAGTAATGAAGTGTGAGGCAATAGTCTGTGTTTGGATATCTGGAGAGTGATACTCTGGGTACAATTTTAAAACGTAAGGTCCTCATTTCTCCAGGTGGATACTCTGATCAGCAGGTAAGGATGTCAGCAGTAGTGGAGGATGATGACCAGCTGACAGAGGGAAAGTGATCTGTTGTATCAGAGGTGCACTCAAGGACCATATAAGATAGTGGTTAAAGATTATATAGTATCTGATTGAATAAACAGTGCCTGTGAGCCCAGTCCTGAGGAGTGCATACTGTTGAAGCAGTGCTGATTCAATTTACCCACACTTGGATTTGTGTCTGTACATAATTAAAAATTGAATTTCCTTTCTTTTTCATTTTTCAACTCAAGAAAGTGTTTTGGGTCCTAGATCTTCCACCTCCTGACATACTGCAGCTAGACCACCACAGCTAGTGGTAAGAGGTGGAAACAGTCTGTAGAGAGAACTGAAATCAAAGATGAAATTCACCTTGTTTAAGCTGTGAGTCACTCTTTCTGGCTGTATTCACAGTGTTATGACAGCTGCACTGTTTCTGCAAAATTTTTCCCAACTGGAGAAAAGTAAAAAGAAACTTAAGAATTTGCATCCATGAAGAAACACAGAAATGATGGGAGAAATGTTCCAAATTTTTTTTGGGCTAAATAAGCAGTTCTTAAACAATTAACTTTCTAAAGCCGTTCTAAATTCTGCTGAGTTGCAAAGTGTTTTCATTTTGCAGATTCAGCTTTTTTTTAGAGACTTGCTGTTGGTATTCGTCTGATCTATGTAGATGATCCACCTGTCTGTACTATGTAGATACAAAGCAGCATTCCTGGGCATCTTTGTACAACCATTCTGGGCATCTCTGATTTCTTCCCATTTATTTATTTCAGGAACTTCACCAAGCATGTCATGTAGGTAGACTTCGTCAATGACAGATTAGCTTAGTTTTTTTAATCACTTCTGAATACGTAAGTGTAATTAATTGTACCACAAAGACACTTCAGTTGCACCTGCAAAATCAAATGCTGAGTTCTGCTCTGCCTGAAGAGCTCATTTGTAATTTGTTTTTCCTCAGGTATGTCATCCATTTATAGTCCTTCTGGTGAATTTACTAGTCACATGCTAAGCTAAATAGTATGACAGAGCATTCATGTGTAGAGCTATAATCCTCTTCCTGTCTTGACTGAGCACAGCATAAAATTCATGTATGCCAAAGGAAATATCCATCAGCAGATCACACAGTAGATCTCCTGAAGCCCAGGGGAAAGGATTCCACATCATTGCTGTGAGCAGTGAAGTCTCTCTTAGAGGTCTCTTGAGATCAGAGATGTTCACATCTGTATTATCTGTTTCAGTCAGTTAGTGAGGAAAAAAAAAAAGCAGTGTGGGTTCAACTTTCACGCCTGCGTGCCGAAGCATATAGATTCACATTTCTTTTATATTTTGCCTAGCAGTGACCCAAATCCCACCACACAGGCCAAACAAGCAGTTGCCTAGGGCAAATGGAGGGCAGGTGAACACCTTTTTCTTCTGCTTTGAGAGGATCCTGGAAAACCCAGTTGGCTGCTTTTGATGCTCTTGCTGCCAAGGAAGAGGTCAGAGTAAATAGGAGGCTGGCTACAGTTGTAGCTCCTCCTGGAGCAGTTTTTGTGACTTTTCAGGACTTTTTCCTAGTCTTCTGTCCCCTCTTCCAACCCTTCCCATTCCTTCGTGTACTTGTCACGGTGAATGAGGTTTGAAGCCTTGTGCTGCACTTTTAGTAGTAAGCAAGAGTTTTGAACTACTAGAATTCTGCTGTTTTGCTCACTTTCCATCACTCCTCTGAATGTGAGAAATCATATTGAGATCAGATATAGACAAGTATTACCTATATTCCATCAACAGGATGGGCACGAGAAACTTTCTTCTGGAACAGCACAGGATACAGAGCTGGGTGTTTATATTTATGATCTTGACCCACTCTAACCTCACACAGAGAAAACATCTCCCCAGAATATTCTGCTTTTTGGTATTGCCATTGGCAGACATATCTTATAATTTTCTGGGAGAAGCAAAGGAAAATGTCGCAAACTGAGTTCTGGTAAAAACAACCATATTCACTGACTCTTAAACTGATATTCTTTTGTTCACTGACAAGGGACACGATGCTTGGTAATTGTGCAAGCCTTTGTCAACCTTACCCTGACATGATATTGCAATCTTTTTTGAGAAGGCTACCTCCAGACTCAAGATGGCAGTTCCATCAGAAAGCTTATTTGGTCCTTGGCTTCCCTGCTGGAACTGCAAACAGTGACCATTTATTGCCAACTGCGATGGTGGCAGAGGTCATGTGCACACCTGCCTGCAATAGGAACTGGACTGAGGTCACCAACTCATTTCACATGGGATGGTGTCATGGTTTAACCCCAGCCAGCAACTGAGCACCACACAGCCGCTCGCTCACTCCCCCTCCCTGGTGGGATGGGGGAGAGAATCAGAAGGGTAAAAGTGAGAAAACTCGTGGGTTGAGATAAAGACAGTTTTATAGGTAAAGCAAAAGTCACGCACGCAAGCAATACAAACAAGGAATTCATTCACTAGTTCCCATGGGCAGGCAGGTGTTCAGCCATCCCCAGGACAGCAGGGCTCCATCATATGTAATAGTTCCTTGGGAAGACAAACGCCATCACTCTGAACGTCTCCCCTTCCTCCTTCTTCCCCCAGCTTTACATGCTGAGCATGACGTCATATGGTATGGAATATCCCTCTGGTCAGTTGGGGTCAGCTGTCCCAGCTGTGTCCCCTCCCAACCTCTTGTGCACCCCCAGCCTACTCGCTGGTGGGGTGGGGTGAGAAGCAGAAAAGGCTTTGACCCTGTGTAAGCACTGCTCAGCAGTTAGTAGAACACCCCTGTTTTCAGCAACACTGAAACAACAGTGAAACAACACTGTTTCCAGCACAAATCCAAAACATAGCCCCATACTAGCTACTATAAAGAAAATTAACTCTATCCCAGCCAAAACCAGCACAGATGGTAAATGACCACTGTAGTAATTCTTGATCGTGAACTACATTTGCCTGAGTACAGCCTGGCATTCCACATGTGAAGTGGTTTGAATTGCATTAGTAATTTCCTGAACCACCTGTTCTCAATGGTTTAATGTTAGTAAAGCATAGAAATTAAGATAATTTAAATAAGCTGTCTTCTTTGGACAGTCATCTGGAATGTGGAATATTATACATTGTACAAAGGAAAGAGACATGCAATTGCAGATCATTTAGACTAGGCAATCACAGTATTTTCAGTTGTGCCATTAAAAAGCTACGTAACAAATTCACTCCTATGCAGATAGTCAGCGTAAAGACATTGTGCTAAAGTCTCAGGCTGGTTTAGTCAGCTCTCCCCCAGTCCGAGTCCCATTTGAGAGAGGCAATAAGTGGGGACTGAAAAGACCCTAGTAGGCATGCAGCTTAGATGCATCTGATGTGAATGATCCATTTCAGTGTGCAGGAATTTCACTTTGTGTAAGCTGGGCTGTTTCATGATGTTTTAGAAACTTTGGTTTAGAAACTTTGGTTTCTAAACCAGCTCCTTGCAAGTTATACCCATGCAAATATTCTCACTTGGAGTTCAGGGCTCAGTCCCTTTCAAAATTTTACCCATTTGTTCTAGATTCTAAAAAACCAGCTTAGGAGCCAACTATTGAAATATTCGGATTTGATTTATCAAACAGGCTTAATAATATATAGCTTCATTCAGGGATTTTTTTTTTTTTCTTTGAGAGTTAGTTCATTAATTTGGACAAGACACTATGTGAGACCCAGAGGAAAAATGTTACTGAAGCAGAAAATATAACTAGTATTGATTGGATTTTTTTAAAATTCTTTGTACAGTTTTTATTATTGTTGTTGGGGGATTGTTTGTTTGGTTGGGTTTTTTACATTTTAAATAGCCAAATATTGCTCCCAGCATGAGAAAATTTGATTTTTCATTCTTGCCATGCTTGCAATAGCTGTTTCTGCCTTGTGGTTAGGTTTGGTCCCAAGGTTGACTGTGATCTACCTTCAGGCCTGAGACGCCTCCATTATCACAGTCCCATGGGATGGGCTGAACCCTCAGCAATGTGACAGGAGTGAAGATCACCCAAGCATACTTTGTCACGTACTTTGGCTTGAAATGAAGGTATGATCCTACTGTTGAAAGCCTGATCCAAAGCATGTGAAGTCAATGGAAATCTTCCAGTGGGTTTTGGACCAGACAGGAGGGAAGTACTTCACCATCACTGTTAGAAACTCACCTCAATCTCAGTTGGTTGAGGACACTTCACATGGCACTCATTAACATTTTTGGTAGGATTTTCATAATCCTAATATTATCCCACCAAAGTTAGTGTTAGGTTTCCTACTTGTTTTTGCAGGAGAAAAAGTAAGACAAATATTAGGTGGATTTTTTTTTTTTTTTTAAATCCACTTATTGCTGACAATCATCAGCAAGCGTAGTGGATAATGCATTGGAGAGAATGACTTTACCTCTCATTTCTAGACAGAAGGGCCATATATTATCTGCTGTGTGTGCCTTATGTAGTGGTCTGCTTCAGCAGATATAAGACTTAATGCTTAAGTGCTCTTGGTCCAGCACTTTTCACAATCGTTAAGCTTACTTTTCAAAATACAACCTTTACAACCTGGTTTAGAACCACAAGGGAGTCTCTAAATGGAGGTAGGTCAGCATTTCTAGAAAAAAAATAATGCAGTATAGGTGTCTCTGAAAGAGAGGAAAAAACAGCGCCACAGCCAAAAAGAAGGCAAAGTAAGCACCCAGGTTCATAATTAAGCAACATGAAATTCTTATTCCTATGCCCTATATTCCCAACAGTGGTCTTTCATAAAACTATCAGATGTCAACACTAGTTCACTTTCTGGCAGAATCTATTAGTTTTGTCCACCCATAATCTATCATGATTGCCTACCCAGCTTGAGATTTGAAAAATATATTTCATGACAAATAACAGCCCTGAATACTCAAAGGCTGCAGTAAAGCATTGAGGTCTGAAATTTCAAATATATTGTCTAGTACTGTGGGTGAAATTGCCCATAATTAGGTGTGTACAGAATTGTGAGTACCATTAATTACACTTACAATTAACCCAATTTAGTTGTGATTACACATATAATCTTAAGGACAAATTGAAACCTGACTAAAAATTAGAGCTGCCATCTCACTCTCCAGATGTCAGATTATTGTCAAACAGTTCATCATTTAATTAAATTAACCATTATTCATATAGATATTTATGGATAACCGTTGAAGAATATCAAGTGGTAAAGAATATTAGAAAGTGTATGGTATTGTACGTAAATGTTACATATGCATTTTATTTGAATTGTCAATCAAATGTTGAGAATGAAAGGATTAAAAAAGGTATTAATCTTTTCCTAAGCATTGGTAAAAACGTGGACACTCCAGCTGTTTTACATGTGTATCTAGCAAGGATAATCCATTCATGTGTCTATTTTGAAAGAATAGAGAAAGCTGGGTGTGTTACACAGGATGTGGAGACTTTCTAGTGGAAATCAATCTAACCCATTGTTTTTCAATCTCTTCCTTCCCTCCACCCATGTCCTGTCCCTCCCTCCCTCTTGCTAGGGAGTTTTCCAAAGAAAGAGAGAAGGCGAAGGCTCGGGGCGATTTCCAGAAGTTACGGGAAAAACAACAGCTAGAGGAGGATTTGAAGGGATACCTAGACTGGATAACTCAAGCGGAAGATATTGACCCAGAAAATGAAGATGAAGGCATGGATGAGGAGAAGCCTCGAAACAGTAAGCAATTTTCTTCTGTCTCTCTCTGTGCTTTTAGCAAGGGAGCACATGCCCACCTGCTCTAGTGCTGAGACTGCTGATAAGGAAGAACAAGTTCTTCCTGAGACTCTCACTATGCTTATACATTATTTCAGTTTAATTCCTGTAGGAAACTGTGGGAGGGAGAAATACGTGTACAAAAATTTATATTGTTCTGCGGATCCTCAGTTTCTTGTCTGTGATACTGATATAAGATCCTGATATTAAACAGAAGAAAGATCAATACTTGCTGGGATAAATTTTAAAATATACATCTGTCTCCTACTCATTTATTTAATTGCAGTTCAGTGTTGCAGGCTGTTGACACGTGGTTAATTACTTTGAAAGCAAAGGTTTCTAGGCAAAGCAGTGCTACAGTATGGGAGAAGGGCCAAATCAGCCCTGTTGTACATTAAGTGGGCCATCTGTAACTCTGTTGAAATCAGTGGAATTGTGTTTGCTTTTGTGTGACTAGAATTAAGCTCTCAGACGTTTCTTGTAAGGGAATTATCTCTTACTCTTCTCTTCTGGAGTTGAGAAGATGTTTGTGCAAAGTGAAAATTCACCAACTCTCTCTTCTTATTAGAAATCCTGAAGAAGGAAGCGCTTGAAGAAAGAAGTGATTCCCTACATTTCATTACCTTTATTGAATCTTCTCCTTCCACCTTCTCTTTTACCAATACAGGCTGTGTAACACTTCAGAAACACCTAGAAGTTATCATTGCAGGTCATGCACTTGGGAAATGTCAGAGTTGGAACCTTTAGACAGTTACACAGTTGTTAATGGACCCTACTCGTAGCTTTCATTATGGAAATGTGCGTTTTCCTAGTTTGCTTTTGGGAGAGAAGAAATTAAACCTTTCCCAAGAGATCATTCTTCCTAGCAAACAAGCAAAATCAATGGAACGATCCAATCAGAAACATATTCTACTAATAGGAAGATTGGACATGGGAAAGTTGTGCCTACAGAGTAAAGCAAGATTTGTATCAGATGCTCGTGATCTTCTGGGGAGTAAGCACTACTCCCTGGTGCTGCCAGAACATTTAAGTTCTTTTAGAAAAAAAATGTAGGGTCATTAATATCAGATCATACCCATGATACTTAGGTATCTGGACTTGAAGGAGTCACTGGGGTGACTTGCTCAGACTTTCCCCAAATCAGGTTATTTTTATTTTTATGTTGGTACTTCATAGGGCATATAGCTTACTTCCACAATTTAACCTCAGTAATCACTCAGAAATGTATTTACTATTCGTGGCCAAAATTTGCTGCTCTTGTGGCATATAACGCATGGAAGGTGATGTCTGGTGATCCAAATTAATTTCTTTGTAGACAGAATTTCCTGTTTAAAAAAATCCCAAACATTACTGCAATGGTTTCTGGTTGATATCTGAGTGGGGAGGCCAAGGACTGGGTTGACACACAACTCCACAGAAGTCACCAGGAGGCTTTCCCTTGACTTCAGTGGGAATTGGGTCATGTTTATCACAGTTCCTCTTAGGGACATGCCGGCTAAAGAAAAGCGTGGCCATACTGGTAAGGTAGTATGATAAGAACCTGCCTTGGTTATTAGCAGATTTGAAGTTTTTCCATTTTAATTAACGCAAACATAATGCTGCTTTGGTAAAAGAGTCGTGGAATATGTCAGATGTAGATTCATTGCATGTGTTGTGGAGTGGTGTCAATCCATATTTGAGCTAACAAGGTCCTTTTATGGGTGGTGATGTTAAGAACTGAAAGATAACATATTTTCAGCTTGCTTTCACTTCTTCCTGTTCTGTTTAATAAGGTGAGTTTTGTAAAACATGGCTTATAAAATTAGTCCTCTTACATCTCACAAGTTCTCTAGAGTTTCTCACGGTTGGCTGTTAATGACAGAATTCCATACTATTAGCAACTTAACTTGTTACCCATTTCTCTTCCAAACTAATAATGAATACAATGTCCCTTTTTACAAGGAGTCACATGGAAAAGATGAAGGGTAAAGGATACAAGTTACTCCTGGGGAGATTCCGACTGGACACAAAAGGAAAATTTTTCACAGTAGGAACAATTAGCCATTGGAATAATCTCCCCAGGGAAGTGGTGGATTCCCCAACATTGGACACTAAAGATTCGTCTGGACAGGGTGCTGGGCCATCTTGTCTAGACCGTGCTTTTGCCAAGAAAGGTTGGACCAGATGATCCTTAAGGTCCCTTCCAACCTGGTATTCTACGATTCTGTGATTCTATGATTCAGTGCCATTGATTCCAAGTGTCAGGTCTAAGGGCTGTGATTGCTAACCAGTCCCTAGTACACATCATTCTCAGTGACATTGTGGCTTTGGGTCACACTATCCGTTTTTGTTACATGACAGACCAGGCTTGGGAACAGATGTCTGCAGTGCTTAGTGCTATAGAGTAGAATTACGCCTCTGTTGAGATGAATTGCTCAGGATGTGAATCAGTTGTGGACTGATTTTGGCCATGTGCTGGGGACAATGGTTATGCCAACAAAAGTCTCTGCATCAGAGAATAGCAGAGACCAAGAAAACAGGTCACTCCATGAAGTTTATTTGCCTATTCTTCTGACATATGTGCCCCACCTAGAGCAGGCTGTTGATAGCAGTATCCTTCTTAGCACCTGTGGCCTGTATCCATGAATGCTAAATCAATCTATCTTCTAGCTTTGGTGTACTACCCAATACCTTGGCCTTCTTCCCACCACAGGCTTTTTTTGACTATGGAAGTAAAGGGTCTCTGTGCTGCCATCCTCTGGTGAGGAAGCAAATAGCCTCTGGATACAGACCGTAAAGAGCAACGCTCCCCCACCCCATCCCGAAGCCAATAAAAATACCTGGATGCATGCCCCCACCCAGCAGAGTTGTGGAGCTTACATTCTGGCCTTTTGTATTGCATAAATCGCCTTTTTTTTTTCTCTCCCAGTAAGCTGTTGTATTTACTTTTGCACAGTTGCAGGTACCATATTGTTTAAGCTCTGTCGTATTTCTTGATACTTTTGAATTTCAATCTTTATTCACATGACAAGTGAGAATGTATTTTCAAAGCCAGATAGCTTGCAGGCGTCCTATCCTAAGATGTCATACTCACTTCGTTAGTTAACATGCTTATCTGTCATGTATGTCACAATGGAAGAAACTGCTGGTATACTTACTGTACCTACCTATGTGATTCCACATCTTGCTTTTCCTACTACCTATGAACATACCTTCCACAGAAACATCTCAACCCGCTCAGGTGCTGGAGACTAGTTTACTAACCAGCTCTGACAAGGCCTGTCTGCTCTTCTGAAACTGAGTCACGTTGCAGCTGTACTGCTCTTGGGGCTTGATAGATACCTGCTAGAAAATGGGTTGAATGAACACTGTTTAACAAAATCAAACAGAGAAGTAGAGGCCCTTCCCTTAATGGCTTCAGCTTAAGATAGTACCACAGAAAAGGTGCCATGATGTTCTTCAAGAAGGAAGTCTTAAAG